TCATAGCTATGATTAATGTTTCAGAGATGATGTCTTAATGAACTGTTTATTAAGCTAAGTATGCTGAGTTTGCTGTGTGAGTGTTGTGTGATATCTCCTGTTAGTCAGACTAAACTAGCATTATTTCTGTTAAACAGCAGAAAGATGTAAGTGAACGGTTTATGTTTGCTAAGCTGCCTTGCTCGTTCACGACTTGTCCGACAGCATGTTGCTACGCTATCTTTATGCAGTTGTGCTGTAAGATTATTAACTACTTTGTACACGGATAATATTTACAGTGAGTGAAACATTTGACTGTTAAAAAAACAGCAGGATGGGATTGACTTCTGGAGGACTGCTGTGGATGTTCTCCTGCCTGGCTGTTCACACATGCACCTCACTATCAGGAGGGGGGGGGGGGGTCTCCTGAGGTAAGACGGGATGTAGAAAGAAAGACGTGGAAGTAGCAGCAGAGTCCTCTATGTGACTCTATAATGAGAATATGTGTGTTTGTATCAACGCTGCGTGTAGCTGAAGAGAATCTCAAAGTGAACTAAAGAGAGAGAAGAACATCCTGGAGAACAGGAAACATGCAGCAGCAGGTTGATTAGAGCACGGAGATGGTAGAGGTGGCGTGCAGACAGTCTATGGTCGTGCAGCGATCACAGGGAATAAAGGTCACCACCCCCTCCCACTGGCCCCTCCCACTGGCTCCCCCCCCACTGGCTCCAGGTGAATTCTCCTGATTATATCCTGCTGTGTTCTCACATCACTGAACGCAATATCCACCTTATGACATCAAACCTTTGTTACCGTTCCGTCAGCGGTTTGACCTCACTTTGGGATCTCTAACCACTTCCTGTTTCTGTGCTTAGCTTCATGTCCTAACCTTCCATCTACCAGAAGGGCCTTACTTTATTTCAAAATAAAAGCACACAGCAAGTAAAGTCCTCTCAGCTGGAAGACAGTAAAATGATTCAAATAAAAGCCTAACAAGTTTTTATTCATAAATGTAAAACAATTGATTTAAAAACGTGATTAAAAATGTGATTAATCAGGGCGCCGGTAGCCTAGTGCTTAGTGTGGATGCCCCATGTGCAGAGGCTGTAGTCCTCAAAGCATGTGGCCCTGGGTTCAAATCCGACCTGCGGCTCCTTTCTTGCATGTCATACCCCACTCTCTCTCTCTCTCTCTCTCTCTCTCTCTCTCTCTCTCTCTCTCTCTCCCGATTCATCTGCTCTATCCACAGTCCTGTCCCTAAATAAAGGCATAAAAATAAACCTAAGAAAATGCAATTAATCACGGTTAACTATTGAAATTTAGTGATCAATTGTGATTAAAATTGTATTTGTTTGACAGCCTGCTTATGAACATGTGAAAGAAAAGGTTATATTTTGGCAGGGTTGGCTTCTTTTTAAAAATGGTACACATACTTTAACAAAGTAGATTTTTATATCAAAACTCTGATTGTTATCAGAGTACAAAAAGCAATAATTGACTTTCACCAGTCAGGACAGAAGAGTTTAAATGAGGCAGCGAGTTCTGTCCTCGGCACCGGGCCTGTTGACCCAACACATCCATCAGCTTCAGAGCAGATTTAGCTGTTGGGTTGTGGTGATCTCCCTCCCTGCACCGACTTAATTAGATGGTATGAATCAAATGTTCTGTCACTAGAGGGCAGCAGAGTGCAGTAAATGACAATCTGTAGTTTCATGAGTAGCAAGATACAAAAGATCAAATCTACCAACTGGAACCTGAGAGCATGTTGTTTCTGTAGGGGGGGGGGGGTTAATCAACAGTCTATCAAGTTCATCAAATGTTTAAGTTTTCTTTACCCACCTTTACAGCTTCAGAGAGACAAGAGCACACATGCACGCCTGAAAACTTACAGATAATTTCAGGAGGACTTCCCCTGAAATCCTTGTTCACACATGATGCACCTCACAGCGGGCGACTCCACCCCGGTCAGGCGGGCTTTGTAGTCATCAGCCATACCTTGTCTCAACTCGCCAAATGATTCACCATGCTCTGTGGAGGTTTAGCAGCATCTCCCCTGTTGTTTTACCTGCTGAAAATACTCCTGACTCCCCGCCAGGAGAGGGCAGTACAGTTCAAGAAACAGATCATCAGCTTGCATCACGCTTTCCTCTCAGTGTCAGCATCTCTGCCTCTGAACGATCACCAGTCCGAAACAGATTAAAAACAGCCAGAGTTTTCTCCACGTGCTGACATTCTGTGTGTTTGATATTGAAAAATAAAAAAGGCTGAAAAGCGGGGAGTTATCCTGAGGAGTGTTTGGATCTTTGTGGTGAAATAAAAGAGACAGTGACGCAGCCTTTTCTCAGCTGATGGATCTGAACTGGCTCTCAGGAGAGTCCATCTGAGCACACTGTGCAATAACACCTCCTCCGTCATGCATTCACCCCCGTCCAGCCTGCTTTCCTGCTCCACAGTGACAGCTCCTCCGGACTGATTCATCGTTCACCTCCACTCCCGTGAAGGTGACGGAGCACCCGGTGTC